ATAATATAACTGGAATATTGTTAACACTGCCATGACATAATATAACTGGAATATTGGTGACACTGTCATGACATGATATAACTGGAATATTGGTGACACTGTCATGACATGATATAACTGGACTAATGTTAAAACTGTCGTGACATGATACAGCTGGAATATTGTTAACACTGTCATGACATAATATAACTGGAATATTGGTGACACTGTCATGACATGATATAACTGGAATATTGGTTACACTGTCATGACATGATATAACTGGACTAATGTTAAAACTGTCGTGACATAATACAGCTGGAATATTGTTAACACTGTCATGACATAATATAATTGGAATATTGTTAACACTGTCATGACATAATATAACTGGAATATTGTTAACACTGTCATGACATAATATAACTGGAATATTGGTGACACTGTCAGCCATGATATAACTGGAATATTGGTGACACTGTCAGCCATGATATAACTGGAATATTGGTGACACTGTCATGGCATGATATAACTGGAATATTGGTGACACTGTCATGACATGACAAAACTGGAATATTGGTGACACTGTCAGCCATGATATAACTGGAATATTGGTGACACTGTCATGACATAATATAACTGGAATATTGGTGACACTGTCATGACATGATATAACTGGACTAATGTTAAAACTGTCATGACATGATACAGCTGGAATATTGTTTACACTGTCATGACATAATATAATTGGAATATTGTTAACACTGTCATGACATAATATAATTGGAATATTGTTAACACTGTCATGACATAATATAACTGGAATATTGGTGACACTGTCATGACATGATATAACTGGACTAATGTTAAAACTGTCATGACATGATACAGCTGGAATATTGTTTACACTGTCATGACATAATATAATTGGAATATTGTTAACACTGTCATGACATAATATAATTGGAATATTGTTAACACTGTCATGACATAATATAACTGGAATATTGGTGACACTGTCATGACATGATATAACTGGAATATTGGTTACACTGTGATGACATGATATAACTGGACTAATGTTAAAACTGCCGTGACATGATACAGCTGGAATATTGTTAAAACTGTCATGACATAATATAATTGGAATATTGGTAACACTGTCATGACATAATATAACTGGAATATTGTTAACACTGTCATGACATAATATAACTGGAATATTGGTGACACTGTCAGCCATTATATAGCTGGAATATTGGTGACACTGTCAGCCATTATATAACTGGAATATTGGTGACACTGTCATGGCATGATATAACTGGAATATTGATGACACTGTGATGACATGATATAACTGGACTAATGTTAAAACTGTCGTGACATGATACAGCTGGAATATTGTTAACACTGTCATGACATAATATAATTGGAATATTGGTAACATTGACATGTCATGATATAGCTGGGATACCGGTAAAACTGTCATGCCGTGGTATAACTGAAATATTGGTAACATTGACATGACGTATAGCTGAAATATCGGTAACGACGTCATGCTATGATATAACTGGAATACTGATAACACTGCCATTACATGATATAACTGAAATATTGGTAACACTGTCTAACACTACTACTACCACTACCACTACCACTACCCCTACTACAGCTACTGCTACTGCTACTACTACTCTTACTATTGCTGCCGTTGCGAATGCTACTACTACTACTACCAGCACTCCTACTACCACCATCAAACACCACCACTACTACTTCCACTTCTACTACTACTACTACTACTACTACTACTACTACTACTACTACTACTACTACTTTGTTACATGTTGAAATCTGACAATCCTGGAGATAGTCCAGGAAGCATCGTCCGGATTAACGGGGTTCCCCTGTGACTGGTTCAGTCAGTGTGTTGTGTGAATACATTGACACACAACGCCCATAATTAACCCGGTATCACGACCTTTACTCCCGGTCAGTACGGAAGCCTGATGCTGCCACTTTTGTTGCATTAATTATTTTTCAGCGAAAGTTCTCGTTATATCGATTATTTTCTCGTTGCTTCGAGTATTATTTCGTTGCTTCGATTATTGTCTCGTCGCCTCGAGTATTTTCTCGTTACTTCAAGTTTCTGTGAAAAAAACTTGAAATTTCGAGTATGTACTCGTTGCTTCGAGTATTTTCTCGTTGCTTCGAGTACTTTCTTGTTCTTTCGAGTATTTTTCAATAGTTGACAAAATATTCGAAGTAAAAAAAAATAATTGAAATAACGAGAAAATATTTTCAAGCCTAGAAAAACATCGGACTAGGGACTGCTGCCATCCTCATTCCAGGCACGACACTGACCACGTCACACACAGAATAGACGGCGAACACAGCTGGGCTTATTTCTAGATTACCGACATTTTATACGCATGAATATACAGTATTTTTAAGTTATTTTAGTGAGCACTGTCGAACCCTGCCTCACAGATGATATCAGTTATTTAAGCGTGGGAATAACAAGTTATAATATGCCTCCTTTGTTAGGGAATTTCACAAAGCGATCGTCCACTACGACTGTTACAAGCCCTTTAGTCTAAAGCCACCCTGACACTTGCACGTATTTTGTCCCCGCACTGCCTCGCAATTCGTCGTGGCAATGCGTGCAACTTAGATGGTACGCATGAAAGCGTGAAGCCTAGTTTGCACACTGTTCGCGTCCTGTTTACGCATAAGTTACGCACTTGGCACTCAATGCGTGACCGAAAATGCGTGTCGCCCACAGTTCGTGATCAAAGCGGACCAATGCGTGACACTGCGTCTCAATGCGCGCAGGGCCGGAAATTGACACGCTTTGATACGCAACGCCCGTAGTGTTTGCGAGTAGGTTGCGCAATGTTCACGACTAGTTCATACAAGTGGCACGAAGATTATGCGTAGCAAAATTTTTTAACATTTCAAAAGTTTCTTTGCGCACTTGTACGCAGCCCCGCACTGTTTATGTACACTTTACAACAGTTTACGCCGAATTAACGCATTGGCACGCAAAATCGCGTACCAGCGCGGGGAGAAAATTCGTGCAAGTGTCAGGGTGGCCTTACATAGACGTATAAGACGTGTTGTGATACGTCTATGTATGACGTGTTGCGATACTTTTGTTCATGTGTATATTTCTGCGTATCAGATTCACGACACCTAGAATGGCGGCTGAACATACTCTAGCTGAATATATACGTGACCGCAGAGGTCATAGACGGATTCGGGGAGAGAGAGAGGGGGGGTGCGCACCCCTTGTCCTGAAAGTTTATTAAATGACCATTGAAAAGGGTGTAAATGAAGTGTGCATCCCCACACACACACTTCTCAATGGCGTGTGTAACCCCCTCCCTCCCCCAAAGGTGTCTCCGCCCATGAGAGGTTCAACCTTTGACATCACGCTGTAGACCCGGGTTCGATTCCCCATATAGGTACAATGTGTGAACCCCATTTCTGGTGTCCCCCATCGTGATATTGCTGGAATATTGCTAAATACGGCGTAAAACAAAATTCGCTCACTCACTCATTCAACCTTTGATCCGGAGAAGCACAAGGGCGGGATTCTAAGTGCTCGAACTTCTACTGATAAGGTTCGTTCTTTTCTGTCTCCGTTTTGAGATGCAGTTTATATACAGATGGTGGTGACCCAGTACATACCTAACACGAGCAACAAAACACAGATGATAAATATCGTTAGTGAAGGGTGCAAGTGAGTAGTTATACGTGTTCAGTTCACCAACACGGACACCTACAGACAGATACGTAGGGACACACGTCAACTCGATTGAAAATATTCCTTCGTCAAAACATGAATAGGTGGAAGATTATGTCTCGGGTTGTTCATATTTTTTTCATTTTGCTGATATTGTAAACATGATTGTTTAAACCATTGGTGACGTTACTTTAAACGGCTAACATTTTAGTACATTCCAGATTGTTTGTAACGTTCTCGTATCTGTCAACGTTGACGCTGACCCCTTTCTATTCATGTCACAAGTCGGTCATGACGTCCCAGACAGGTCGTCGGCAGCGCCGTTGTAATTCAGGGAATGTCGATATATCGTACGTGCGCTGCGTGGCTTCCATAACGCTAATACGTCTGAATACGGGATGACGATTTCACGGCATGATAACAGTGACTTGCAGTCTAGCATGGAATCAGGCATGTGTTGGTTCCATCGTGTCACGGTGTCTGTACACTGGATCTTGTCCTTATCAGGCATCTTCGAGGGATTCAGGTATGTTCTTAGTCAGGATTTGTGATCTGACTGGTTATGACGTGGATCTTGTTCTAGCTGTCAATCACTGGTCAGCCTGGACTGGTCAGCCTCCACTGGTCAGTCTGGATTGGTCAGTCTCCACTTGCCATGCACATTGAAGGGACATATATTATAATAGTGCCTACCTTTTGGCGTGGTATACTGTGCTATTCACGTGTAAGGAAGATAGGTTGTAGTGGCCATCTCTTAAAGTGGTACACTGTGATAAAAAAAAAGTTTTAAAAAAGTTTGATGAGAGGAAATAGTGCTGGATTTTCGCTTAGCGTTGCCTTTCACAGATTGATCTAGAAGACAGAATGCACACTAGTTTGATATACTCCTGTCAAGTTCATTCACAATACAACTTATCACTTTCATAAAACACTTCGACATTAGTGTTGCTGTATTTTATGGATTTTGATGCAGTATAAGTATTCTAAATGACGTCACAATCACTGAGCTACCACTTTTCTCTCTCTCTCGTAAACTGACGATCGTGTTTGATTCTGTTGCTACAAGCTGCGTTATTAACCCTCTCTCTCAACCTCGATGTACTATTTTGGATATTATCATATGTTTTTTTCAACTGACACACATTATCGTCTTTGTTTCAGGTCAATTTCGACGCCACCAATGACGATATTACAGATCTTTAACACCACCATCACATCACGACACATCGCCCCACCAGTATCGGCATGACGCCATGTCCAGTCTCCTTCTGGAATGCGGATCTGTCAACACCAGAGAAAGGTGGCGCTGTCACTCGGTCTCGTGGCCTTCGGGATTCTCGTTCTCCTTCGCAGTCACGTCGCGCCGCTGTACGATGACGTCATGATCAGGTATGACGTCACAAAGGAAAGAGAGCGGGGAGTGGATGTAATACACAGGCGTGATAATGGAACGAAACATCGGGACACGCAGAAACGAAGAAGTCAATCAATCGCATCAGAAACAAAGTCACCGCTGGAGCAAATCTCCAAACCTACAGTTACCAACCATGAAAGTATCGACCCCGATCATTCTTTGCCAAAACAATGTCTCATTATTTCTATATCCCACCCCAACCAGACTAAGAACGATTCTGAAACATGCAAGAAAACACGCACAATGACAATTCTTGGCGGCGGTCGTCTTGGTAACGCCATGTTTCAATACGCGTCCCTTGTTGGGGTCAGTAGTTTCCATGGTTACACAGCAACTCTGGCAAGCTCTCACTTTCTCAGAAAAATCTTTAAACTTAGCGCACCAGCAAGCAATTATTCTACAGCCCCAACAGACGCCGTGAGGGAGACGCACCCAGGAACATTTGACCCCGGGGTACTGGTTCTGTCTCATAACGTCAGCTGGGTGTTGGTGGGGTATTATCAGTCATGGAAATATTTCACCAATATCCCGGAAACAATAAGACGCGAGTTCACATTCCGGGATGACGTCATTAAGGCTATGCTGAAGGAAGTGCCCGTTCTTGCCAACTGGACACGAATAAAAGTCGGAGTTCATATCCGTCGAGGTGACATGGCGACCAAGTATGAGCGAAATCGAGGCTATAATATTGCTGACATTGGATTTCTGAACAGGTCAATGGATTACTTCCGGAACAAGTACAAGAATCCGTTGTTCATTGTGTGCTCTGACAGTATCACGTGGTGCAAAGACAACGTTAAGTCGGACGATACTATTTTCAGGAAAGGTAAACCTGAAGTGGATTTGGCCGTTTTGGCTCACTGTGATCACAATATAGTTACATCCGGGTCGTTCGGATGGTGGGGTGCGTGGTTGGCTGGGGGCGAAGTTGTATATTTCAAACACTTCCCGCGAGAAAAGACGTGGCTGGACAGACAGTACAACAAAGGGGACTACTACCTCCCGCAATGGTTAGGGATGGAGTGACAAACATGCCCATGCTGTTGAAAGTTGCTATTTCGACCATACAGGCCCACCAGCCTCTGTTTCTTTATATTCGTTTTTGGGTCGGTGGGGTGGGCTAGTTGTTACGTCGTTCACTCGTCAGCCGAAAACCGGTTCGATTCCCTACATGGTTACAATATGTGAAACCCATTTCTGGTGTCCCCCGCTGTGATATTACTTGAATATTGCTAAAAGCGGCGTAAAACCTCACTCATTCGCTATGTTCGTTCTGGTGAACCACACACGTCTCTCTGGCATTACTATATACCTGACCCAAATGTAAAAGACAAAGGACACGGTATAATTAATGACGTTCCTCGCTATACAGCGTATTGTGACTGAACCACTCGCACTAATATGTTGACTCAAAATCACAACTGTAACGCATTGTGACTGAACCACTCGCACTAATATGTTGACTCAAAATCACAACTGTAACGCAATAGGACCAGGACCCCTTTGAAACAAAGCGATCTTAGCGCTACGACTGCTTTAAGTCTGTGTTACAGTATGAGAGTTACGGTCATCGAAGCGCTAAGATTGCTTTTTGCAAGTGGACCCGTGAAGGTCCGGATTAGAATTGATCTTCAGTAATCCATGCTTGCCGTAAGAGGCGACTAACGTGATTGGGTGATCAGGCTCACTGACTGGGTTGACACATGGCAACGTGTCCCAAATGCGTAGATCGATGTTCATGGAGTTGATGCCTGGATTGTCTGGTCCAGACTCGATTATTTACAGACCGCCGCCATATAGCTGGAATATTGCTGAGTGCGGCGTAAAACTAAACTCACTCACTCATTTGTGCAAGTGGGCACAGGTCGTTGACAGCAGAACGCAATACCATCTTAATGTCAACGATTGTAAATGAGACAATGGGTTTCATCTCATTTACAATCGTTTACATTAAGATGGTGATATGCCAATCGCCTAATACCCCGGAGCACCTGTTGACAACGTGGTTGTTGTCGGTACTCACCGTTTCTGGGGTTATTATAGAGACTAGAACAGGTCTTGAACACAGTTTTCACTCGTACATGCATCATCAGAGCGGCCTATCCCAGCTCAGTATGGTGTAGTTCACTGTTAGCGTAAAGCGTTATAACTGTTTTAATAAAGTGTGTTCGTAATATGAAACCCGTGAAGGTCCGGGGTAGAATGTGCCTTCAGTAACCCATGCTTGTCGTAAGAGGCGACTAACGGGATTGGGTGGTCAGGCTCGTTGACTTGGTTGCCACATGTCATCGGTTCTCCATTGCGCTGATCGATGCTCATGCTGTTGATCACTGGATTGTCTGGTCCAGACCCGATTATTTACAGACCGCCGCCGTATAGCTGGAATATTGCTGCGCGGCGTAAAGCTAAACTCACTCACTCACTCACTTGTAATATGATGTGGAAGAACTAACCAACTCAAAATACATTTTTTTGCGTGTTTGATTTGTATTCATGCTGTATATCTTATGTTAAAATCGTTATAGTGTCGCGAAATTTTTGGGAGAATAACCAACGAGGTACGAGTGATTACGGGAAATATGCCCGAGTTGAAATAATGTTCACAGTGCCGAGCCTTGGCGAGGCACTTAACATTATTTTAACGAGGGCATATTTCCCGTAATCACTCGTACCTCGTTGGTTATTCTATCTATTACCCATAATGTAATTTAAAAGGAAGAACCACGAAATAAAAATTAACCACCCGGAGACAGGACTTGTGACCTTAAACAGCTGATTCGTATTCATGCGCGTATTAAACCTAACTTCTCCAGCGATAATAACATAACTACGCTATGGAAATAGTACATCATAAAATCGCTTTAAAATACAACAAAATTATGATGCCTGGAATAATTAATTAACATGTGTTAATATGATAAAAATGATCTTTTAAATATATCATTGAACTTAATAAGAGCTAAACATTTATTCGATCAAGTCAGTGCGACGGAACATCGTTCATTCATGACTGACGTGTTTTTTAGTGACGGGTGACGGTGTAGTGTTGAAACACACTCTGGCAAAAACCTGTCAATTTTGGGAAAGTCAACGGTTAAAAGTTGGGAAATCTAAAAGACAACCATCCCACGAATACATCTAGAAAAAGTTGTCTGTCAAGAAACTCAACAAGTTTGAAGATTAAACAACAGGAATGCATGGATATAAAAAGTCATCTTGAAGAAGAACATTTAGCACTGATTCCGGTAAGAAAGGAGAAGTTTTCTGGTTCGATGGCATGGACGCCGTGTCCGACTTACTTGTCACACCTTCTGATAACATCTTTAGTCGGTATCTTGCTGTTTCTATTTCCCCGAATTCAGTTTCAACAACAAACAGGTTTTGGGAATTCAAGGGCTGTAAAATTCTTATCACTCTTCCTATTTGGTCACCGTCAACTTTTAACTAGGTAAGAGACCTTGATCGGGGTTAGCCTAACGGCGGCCATGTTTGTTTACAAACAATGCAAACGATTGTTTGGTGGGTTTTTTAAAGATTATATAATTTGAAAAGACTACTATTTATAACGCAGTTTTATTCCAAAATAATAACGTCTAATAAAAAGAATATTCATATTCTTTAACCTTAATGTTTTCTTTTTTAGATCTCGGAATGTGTGATTACATTACTTAATGTCAATTTATCAATGAATCGATGAAACTTTATGAATGAACGTAGTGTGTGAAAGTAGTTCCGACATCCAATGAAAATGTACAAATATACGATCAACCAATCAACGTCGAGAATCACTAAATTGCACATTGTGCAAATATCAAAAAGATATTACACGGTATCTCCTCACCCGTATGGGTAATAATCAAGAAAACCTTCCACTGATGAGATTTGATCATAACTAGGTAGTATGCCCAGATAAAACACTAAACAATTGACTAAAGTACTGTCGGAAATAGAAAAAAAATGTATTCTCTCATTTATCTCTACAATTTATGTAGTTAGTTATCTGTTAAACTGTTAAACTAAGTTCGGCCTAACTACAGTCTCAGTGGTAGAGAGATAGGAAAAGGAGAAAAAGGACTTTCCTGAGGGGAAATTAGTGCAGAAATGAGCAATGCGTTTTTTTACTAAATCCAAAAAGACTTTTTTGGAACAGACCATGGCTTTATGCAAATTAGTGTGCGACGATATTGTATTACAAAGGACACTTTTCAAATGCCCAATCTGAAATTAGACGTAGATTCATTATAAACGAAAGCTGACGTAAAAAATAATAACTATTATGCTGAAACTATTAAGGATGTAGCTACCATGCAGTCTCACTGTCACTATAAAAACAAACAGATAGGAGGGGTCGCCTCAAAAGCAAAACCTGGGGTCGGGCTTGGGGATAGAGATATCAGTTAAGATAAGATAATCCTTTAGGGCAATTATACTGGGGAGGTACACGGCACGTCATAACAATTTACAAATAATATCCAGTCCTGTCGATCTTCGGGTGGTCATGCCACCTATATACTACGATGCGTTTCTGTAGTTTTCGAGTATCATATTCTTTTACATATCTCAACATAAACTTTACGAAAGAAAGACACATAAGATGTTAATCAAAAGATGAGACATAGTCAACACACATGAAAAAGTACATGATGACCCCTTGTGCCTGTAGGCAGCACGTGCATTTCATGCCAGGTGAGTCGACGGTCCGTCGTCATACCTGGCTGAGCGACCCAATTGCCATCTATAGTCTGATCTATTGTTTTCAGCAGCTATTCGTATTTTTTCTAAGTTTTGCCCGATTTTACGAGTAAACATGCTTTTCTTGATATCGTATTACGCATCCCACTGAACGCCAAGTTAGGCCGAAGTGGGTTATTTCGACATATGCTATTTGCAGTTGTGTAAATTTTAGGGATACAGAGTAACAGCCTAAAAACAGTTGTTTTTCTATTTCCGACAGTACTATAACATGAACACTTTTCAAGCGCGCAGCTGTGCCAGTATCATCTAAGTCGTCCCGTACTGCGAAATTTATTGATTGTGATGCCGCTTCTGTGTAGACGCAGTTACCTCCCTTGTAACACGAACACACTCCCAGCGAAACACGATTCTCGGTGCAGTGATGATATCCTCGGTATTTGTGAACGACGCTGTGTGTGAACCCAACATTGGAAAAGACTGTGTGCCCTACACTACTTCTTGGATATGTAGATGGTGATTCCATGATGGATGAGAAGGTAAACTTGGTAGATCCACTCACTGTTTGCAGAACCCTCAACACACTCATACAAAGCAATGGCTGCCTGGCTGACGTGTTGGGCTTTATAGACGGTAACCAAGTCACTCCCCAGACCTATAAACAGAACCGCGATGCGCGTGATCTGGATTCTCCCGTCGGAGTGGCAGCTCTTGCGGGAAGGGCTGATGTTATGAACGCTCTTATAGATCGAGGGTTCGCCGCTAATGAGAACTGTCGCACTGCTCTTGGATATTCATGTACACCTATACACCTTGCTTGTAAGATGGGTCACGTCACAGTGGTCAAGTCGCTAGTGGAGGACCATGGTGTCAGCGTCAACATTGACGACGAATGGGGCAACTCTCCCCTTTGCAGTGCTGTCAAGTCAGGAAGCGCTGATGTAGTCAACTATCTGCTAACGAAGGGTGCTACATTAGACTTCCGGGAACAGTTCACGAAGTGTACATATCTACATTTTGTAGCCGACACAGAAAACGTAGAAGTGTGTAAGTGTCTGGTTTCACGTGGATGTGACGTCAAAGCTCGTGACGTCACAGGATGCACACCTCTTCACATCGCAGCGACGTCCGGCAACGTGGACATGGGGAAAACTCTCCTTGACGCATGTGCAGATGTTAATGCGGTGGATAGTTTTAACCGTACCCCGTTTTTCAACGCGGCCATGGAGGGTCATACCGAAATGTTGAGACTGTTGTTTTCAAACGGCGCAAATCCGCGTGCGTGCGACTCAAACGGCACCTCCCCGCTCCTCAATGCGATAGAGTTCAGCGGCAACGACATCAACGCTGTCAGATACCTCCTCGTCGACGTCAACGCAAACCTCAGCTCAATGACAAATGTCCGGGGCAAGGCGCCCTTGTTGCTGGCGGTACAGCGGGGTCACATGGGAATCGTCGACCTGATTATCAACACCGGATATGACATCACTCAGAATGACGTCACGTGGTGCAGTCACGTGGTTGGAAAAGGAGAGGGCGCTGCTAAGTTGGTCATGGAATCCGCGTTTATGACTCGAACACTTCAGGATATTTGCTGTTTTACTATCCGACGTGCCCTCGGCGTACGTCTAGCCAAATATGTCGACAGACTCGGCGTTCCGGAAGCTTATATAAAATTCATCCGACTTGATCACGTGATGCCAAATAATATAAACACGAGTGAAAGCTACGATATTTGTTTGTTGTTTAACTCTCGGCAGTTCCCCAGCGATTTGACGACGTCGTCCTGTTAATTACGGAGTCAGTCATTGAAGTTGTGAGCAACTATATAGGCTGTCAAGGTACAGTGAGTGAGTGAGTTTAGTTTCGCGCCGCTTTAAACAATATTCCAGCAATACCAAGGCGGGGGGACCCCAGAATTGGGCTTCACACATTGTACCCCATCCAGGTACAATGGCACACAACACATCAGGTCATGTAGTTCCGCAGTTTCAGCTCTGAACGAAGTATGTGTTGCAGTATTGGGCAGAATAATAGACTCAGCGAGCGATTCATTTCAAGTTTTAGGGTGAGTGAGTTGGTTAGTACGCCGCTTTTAGCAATATTCCAGCAATTTCACTGCGGGGGACGCCAGGAATGGGCGTCACACATTGTACCATATGTGGGGAATCGAACCCGGGTCTAGGCTACCCCACCGCCCCTCAAGGGGCCACTTACTTAACGCACACTAACGACAATAAGGTAATATTGAGAGCGCTGAACCGAAAAACGCCGGTTTCTGTCAGATGTTGCGTAAACGAAACGATACTTTCGGAATAAGTATTCATACACAGTGAAATGTCCAAACAAGAAAAAAAGCAGTCTTTACAAACACAAGGACTGAAACGTGTGGCGAGATACATGATAAACTGCATGTTGACTTGATTCAAACATGTCGACGACAACCAGGGAAAATGCATAGTGAGTATTTATTCTTTCCAACATAAACCGGGATTTACACAATAAAACATTTACACGTTCAGAAATTTATTCATTGACTACAATGGTAGCTTCGATGTATTTCAACCACAGAAAATTCATCGGACACCAGAAGCACCTGTAACAAAGTTGCCATTCTCTTTGTATGTTCCCATACAGTTTCCAGGTTATTGGACATCATGCTGTCAGAAGGACGGCCATTACTTCTATGATGTTGGTGTGATATTGGTTAGAAATGTTTTGTGATTGTGTTATAGACACCATCCATATGCATGGGTGGATCCAGGAATTTTGAAAGGAGGGGCGGTGAGGTGTTTCAGGGGTTTGGAACCCCCTGAACCCCCCAATGGCTCTGCCAACGCCCCCAAAAATTCTTCAATGTGGTCTCAAGACATTTTTCGGGGGTGGGGTTGGTGGTCTGAACTCCACACACACACACACACACACACTCTGGATCCGCCAATGATATGATACAAGTTGTACATGGATTAAATAAAAGTTCCAGCCGTATCACTAAACTAAAACAAACAATTAATATGAATTAAGGTGACAACTAAGTCAGAGTTGAGAGATGTTCTTCATTACTCCTGCCACATCAAAAGAATCGACGATAGCAGCAGTCGAACTGTGGTGGTCGAACAGTACCCTTATGCTCAACAATAACATGTGTCTCGTCAGTGGAGTGAGCTGGGGTTGGGCTGGGGTTGTGGTGTGGTTGTGGGTGGTTGTAGAGGTGGGCTGCTGTTTGGGGTCTTGTGGGTGTGGGTGGTTGTAGAAGAGGGCTGCTGGTTGGGGTCTTGTGGTTGTGGGTGGTTGTAGAAGAGGGCTGCTGGTTGGGGTCTTGTGGTTGTGAATGGTTGTAGAAGAGGGCTGCTGGTTGGGGTCTTGTGGTTGTGGGTGGTTGTAGAAGAGGGCTGCTGGTTGGGGTCTTGTGGTTGTGAATGGTTGTAGAAGAGGGATGCTGGTTGGGGTCTTGTGGGTGTGATGTGATTGTGAATGGTTGTAGAAGAGGGCTGCTGGTTGGGGTCTTGTGGGTGTGATGTGGTTGTGAATGGTTGTAGAAGAGGGCTGCTGGTTGGGGTCTTGTGGTTGTGTGTGGTTGTAGAAGAGGGCTGCTGGTTGGGGTCTTGTGGGTGTGATGTGATTGTGAATGGTTGTAGAAGAGGGCTGCTGGTTTGGGTCTTGTGGGTGTGTGTGATTGTAGAAGAGGGCTGCTGGTTGGGGTCTTGTGGTTGTGTGTGGTTGTGAATGGTTGTAGAAGAGGGCTGCTGGTTGGGGTCTTGTGGGTGTGATGTGGTTGTGAATGGTTGTAGAAGAGGGCTGCTGGTTGGGGTCTTGTGGGTGTGGGTGGTTGTAGAAGAGGGCTGCTGGTTGGGGTCTTGTGGGTGTGGGTGGTTGTCCAGAAGAGGGCTGCGTGGTTAGGGGACTTGTGGGTGTGAGGTGGTTGTCATCCAGAGGGCTGCTGGTTGGGGTCTTGTGGGTGTGGTTGTGGAAGGTTGTCAGAAGAGGGCTGCTGGTTGGGACCTGGTCTTGTGGTTGTGAAAGGTTGTCATCCAGAGGGCTGCTGGTTGGGGTCTTGTGGGTGTGATGTGGTTGTGTGTGGTTGTAGAAGGTTGTCTGCTGGTTGGGGTCTTGTGGGTGTGGATGTGGTTGTGGAAGGTTGTCATCCAGCACTAAAGGGCGCCGCTGGACTTGGGTTGATGTGGGTGTGGAAGGTTGTGGCGCACTAAGCTGGACGCTGGTTAGTGGACTTGGTTGTGGGTTGTGGAAGGTTGTCATCCAGCGCACTAAGCTGGACGTCGTTAGTGGACTTGGTTGTGATGTGGTTGTGGAAGGTTGTCATCCAGGACGTCGTTTGTGGTTGTGTCTGGTTGTGGAAGGATGTCATCCAGCGCACTAAGCTGGACGTCGTTAGTGGACCTGGTTGTGATGTGGTTGTGTCTGGTTGTGGAAGGATGTCATCCAGCGCACTAAGCTGGACGTCGTTAGTGGACTTGGTTGTGAAGTGGTGGGTGTGTCTGGTTGAGGAAGGATGTCATCCAGCACACTAAGCTGGACGTCGTTAGTGGACCTGGTTGTGATGTGGTTGTGTCTGGTTGTGGAAAGATGTCATCCAGCGCACTAAGTTGGACCTCGTTAGTGGACTTGGTTGTGAAGCGGTGGGTGTGCATACGCTGTTGTTGAACTTATCCACCGCTTCTGCTCTTTGCTTCTCAGACGGAGATGGTGCTGGTTTTGTGGGATGGTGCATGGTTTCAGCAGGGAGTGACCGTCACTACTCCTGACCCCCTATTGAAGAGGCGGGTGTGGCTGGGGGTTTGTAAAATGGATGCTTCGTCGCCATCATGTCGTTCAGTTTCTTCAGCTCATTACTGTCAGGAGACATTTTGTTTTTCTGTGAATAAAAATACAACTTATATCAAATTCACGTTGGCAACAAGCTAGTTGAGTGAATGAGGACATGAAACACCATGAATGAACTTTACGTATTCTATCTATAAGGAGTCGAACCTGAACTTTCTCCATGGTAGACTTTACCCACTAGTGATTAAAGCGTTGGCTCGTCACGCCGAAGACGCGGGTTCGATTCCCCACATGGGTTCAACGTGTGGAGCCCATTTCTGGTGTCCCACTCCGTGATATTGCTGGAATATTGCTAAAAGCGGCGTAAAAGCATACTCACTCACCACCCACACAACGTACCAACTGCTCTTTATCCACATAACTGCTTAATACACAGCGAGTAAGTGTGGTTTAATTTCTCTGCAATACGAGAAACACCGTAAAAGGACATTTTGACCATATTGGGAATTGAACAAGGGTTTCAGTGTGACGGCCTTTTACCACTTGCCTATCTCAACACCCTTTCACATAACTACTACGTTTACAACCCGAGGTCAGTCACGCTCACATGGAGACATATCCGCATCAGCCCCGTGCCCGTGTGTTTGTTGTCCAGGGAGTAGATCTTCTTCTCCAGACTCAGCGTTGTCTGGTACTGCACTGCTTTGGTGAGCTCCATCACGCCGACGTCGGTAATCCGGTTTCCTGGAATAATAATGGCTATTTGTACAGGGCCCCTACACGTGCATGCTCAAAGCGCTGACGCATTATTACCCTGATTAACCCAAACAACCCAAGCGTTAAATGGTTAACAGTCATATGACTTATCCCACCGGGTACCCATTCACTGCTGGGTTGACAGAGGTAATTTTGAACAGACTCACTAGCCTAAGGTGTGGACATGTATCACGTGTTCTTCGTTGTGGGGCAAGCTTGAAGTCCTAGAAACTCTCAGGAGTCAAGCTGCCAAACACGGTAACCCATATAGAGACTCTCTGTGACCAACGTTGCTTAATTTCAATTGACTTTTGACCTGGGCTCTATGCACAAGATCACACACCACCACTAACACATAAAACATATAACAGAATCAGCATCAACTACTACCATATGTAGGTCCAGTGGATATCTGCTAACAGGTGTCCTAGTCCATTAGAGCAGCTTTTGATCAGTTTCAGTCCATAAACCACCAAAAACATAAGAAACATTGTTACCTGTAAATCGAAGCGTGTTTTGTCGAAAATGCTTGGTGGCATGACTCTGCATAGTGCGTATGAATAATGATTTACGCCCTCCCAGACAATGATTAAAACTGCATAATTCTTGGTAAGCGATGTTGCACGGGCAACGAAACACGCCATCAGAGTTCACTGACACGCAGGCAGCCGAGTCGACGGACCGGCCCGTTGCCCAATGTCCAACTCGGGATCTGACCATTTGTCTCTAAATATTCAGGCCCATAGTTTTAATGGAACCCAGAATGGATGCAGGTACACTAAATGCCAAAAGAAACGTTACCGTCCTACCTTTATGAATTACTGAAAAACTTTCCAAGATATATTGGAAGGCATTAGTTTACAAGAAAGCTGAACAACACAGCTTTATGCAAATCACGAAAAGGAATTCTCAAATGCATTCATATTTAGGTGAAATGCATCTTTTTCAGAAGAATTAAATTGTCCAATATTCGTCCATGACGAAATAAACCAATAACAGTGATTTAAATGTCCGAAAGAAAAGTTGAAATAATATTCTGCTTTGAGACAAATATAAATAATTTAAAGTCACCATTTTTAAACTGCTAAACAAGAAATAACTGTTGTAGAGTGTGTAAAATTGTAAAATAATCATTCCTATGATTTCAGTCTTTTAAAACATTTTCTGCTGATTTGCATTAGTGAAAACAAGTAAAACGTGACTTTGATATTGTGAAAAGTGTTTAGGAACATCTAAGATTATCTTTGTTAACATTTTTGTTTGCAAAGTAACATTTTTCCATTTTATGTTTACACAGAGTAATATCAGTCGCAAAAACGTAGCAATATTCAAGACGTATTTACATCCATTTCACGTGTTGTATGATTCTATAGGGTATAAAGAGAGACTAGAATGCATGATATGATACACAAGTATGAGACATATGCCACGATTAACAGCTGAAGAGAGATGGGATCGGGATGGTGCATATGGGGTCTACATACAATGCTGTTGCCAACGACCACGGATGCCACTGTATCACGGTTATTAGACTTATTCAGGGCTACAGACAGACTGGGGTCACCGAAGACAGACTGGGGTCACCGTAGATAGACCATGAAGTGGACGTCCACGCATCACAACGCCAGCTGAAGATAGGTAACTCCGTCATTAAGGAAGGAGGGTTACGTTTCTTTTGGCGTTTAGTGTATATAGATATTTGGATATATAAACCCAGGCTTGGCATGAACAGGCCTTGGAGCCACAACAATGAAGATCTTACTGGCGAGATTGAGGTTGACAAGGATTCTGTTTCCGGCCAACAGCAAGTTCTGTAACTCTGGAATATACTCCGCAGCCTCCATCAGTGGGTTGATGATCACCACGACTTCGGCAGTCTGTACAACATGGCCATAGGAAGGGCATTACTAGGGAAATTGTTAGTTCGGACAACTCGACACCGATATAAGTTGTTTTGTTTGTATGTTGTGTAACGCACGGTTATGGACCAGACAGTCCAGTGATCAACAGCATGATGGGATACGATGATACATGCCAACCAATCCATCTGCCTGACCACGTGCCTTTTACAACCAGCATGGTTTGCTGAAGACTAACTGTTACCGATGTATGCAGGTCACATTCAATTACGAAATACAGACTGACTGACTGACTGAGTTCAGTTTTACGCCGCTTTTAGCAATATTCCAACAATATCACGGCGGGGGGACACCAGAAATGGGCTTAACACATTGTACACATGTGGGGAATCGAACCCGGGTCTTCGGCGTGACGAGCCAACGCTTTAACCACTAGGCTATCCCACCGCCCCTCGAAATACAGAAACAATGCTAGGCAAAAGTGATATGATGTGATATATATGACACTGGTTCTGTTTCACCATATGGGTAAGAAATGATATTATGAAGGACATTATATAAATGGCTGGTATCTACGTAGGACACTATGAGAACCATTGTGCGATAACTGCACATCACGACCCAGAAATGGTGTGTGAGAACGTAGATGTATATAGGAACTACAAAAAACATTGTCCACAGACCGATGAAACAGACCCATGCAGATCACGACAAGGACCATTGTCGTATTCGGGCAATGGACATCTCTTTTCACAGGGGCAAACAAGCTGGGGATATTGGTAGATTAAATAAGCTGATTCGCACTACCAAAGATCAGTTCGTTTCGTTTCTTTTGTACGACAGTATAGAGATCTCACCTCGTTATCTTGTGGCGTCAGCTTTCTGTTTCTGGACTTGTCACGTGACTTTCCACCCGTCTTACCATCCCCGGATCCTGGAGCTGTCAATCAACAACGTCGCCTTGACGTCAGTACCATTACAACAATGTCGCCATGACGTCAGTATCATAACAACAACGTCGTCACGATGTCGATATCATTACAACAACGTCGTCATGATGTCGGTATCGTTACAACAGCGTCGTCATGATGTCGGTATCGTTACAACAGCGTCGTCATGATGTCGGTATCGTTATAACAACGTCGTCATGATGTCGGTATCGTTAGAACAGTGTCATCATGACGCCGGTATCGTTACACCAACGTCTTCATGACACCAGTACGCAAACGTCGCCATGACGTCAGTACCATTACACCAACGTCGCCATCACGTCAGTATCATTACAACGCCATCATCACGTCAGTATTATTACAATGTCGTCATGACATCAGTATCATTACAACAACGTCGTCATGACATCAATATCATAACAACGTCGTCTTGACGTCAGTACTATTACAACAACGTCGTCATGACGTCAGTATTATTACAACGTCGTCATGACGTCAGTACCATTGTAGCAACGTCGTGATGACATCAGTATCATTACAACGTCATCATTACGTCAGTAGTATTACAACTTCGTTATGACGTCAGTATCATTACAACAACGTCGTTATGACGTCATTATCATTACTACAATGTCGTCATGACGTCCATATCATTACAACAACGTCCTCATGAGGTCAGTATCATTACAACAACGTCGTCATGACGTCAGTACCATAACAACAGCGTCGTCATGACGTCAGTATCATTGCAACAATGTTGTCACGGGGTCAGTACCATTACAACAGCGTTACCATGACGTCAGTATCATAACAACAACGTCGTCATGATGTCAGTATCATTACAGTGTTTCCTTGGAAACCAAACACTATTGTTACCAACGAAAAAAACATAATGTTCAGTGCGCATTTGCATTATACATATGATAATAATATATAATAATCACCTGTTGCCAGATTCTGTGACTGCAATGTGCCGTTATACACATGTAATCATGGTTCAGTTAAACACTCCACAAAAAATGTTGCATTGTTTCTGAAGCTGATATACACTATCATGATATACACATACTTCTCAGATACAGCACAATACGCAGACAGAATGTAATCTAAATGTCAAATGTTTGCTATTCAAAATCTTAAAGCTTGAACATGTGCACCCGTGCAAATAATATTAATATAAAGCGAGAAATATATAAAATAGCAATCTATTTTGACCAGCACCCTTGCTGTCCTGTTCACTTTTATCATAAGAGCTTTTGAGAGGTGGAGCTGAAACCAGTGAGTAAAGTTACCGCAGCTTTGAAGTAGCTGAAACTGCTACTGAGGGATATTCGAGGTAACAGGTGCTTGCGGACAATGTCTGTCTCGACTGTCTCTGACATAGCTAGACAGTGCTATTAACAGTCATAACCATGTCTAAGGTTAACATGACGCCATCAACATGCCTTCAATAACGAGGCCTCAGAAATGTCTAAAAAGCCGTGCAAAGTGTGTTGAAAATAAAAACAAAATAACAAAAAAGAATTTGATTAAAAAAATCTACAACTATGAATAGAATAAGAAAAATTAAGTGTAAATACAACTGACGATGGATACTATGGAGACGCAAAAGGGTGACATTTCGATTTATGATAATCATTCTGCCACTCTGGCGTGTTCTAAATATATGAAGTTTTTCTGACTTTCAGCTACAGTGCAGATAAATATGATAAAGGTGACATAGCAGAAGAAGCACGTGTGTATACAACCATAAAAAATGCACTACCTTAAAATCACCTACACAGTAGGTTCTGGAGCTCACCTATCATCCTTCACACAATCCGCATGTCAACTGTTGGGATGGTGTAACTGTTTCGGGACTTTACGGTAACCTATTGGCATCAGCATCGACATACAGCGCCACAGTCGTGTGGCATACCAAATGTACTATTGTAAGTGTAGTAATGCCTGGACATTGCATTGCAAAAAGCAAGAGTACTTCCTCAAGGTAAGCCTGATAGGGTAAGAGGGGGTTAACAGGGGGTCAACAATATTAACACGGTGTCTATAGAGGAAATTCATAACAAACTGTGGTCCCGAGAAAAAGGTGTTTTCGTAATAAAATGAAAGTTCTTCTGCAAAACGTTTTTGAAGGAAAACCAAGTTCTATGTATAGTCAACTTTATTGCAATAAATGCGACTTGCTTGATAACGGTGATGTATATCGAAACGTCGCATTCATTGAATCTTTGAACGGCATTTAGAAGGGCTGATACACACAAAGGCATGACTTCTATGGAAGCCAGCTTCTTTATGTGTGATGGACACGGCGTTTCAGGGTATATTCTTATTCCTTGATCAGGTCGCATTCATTGCAATATAGAAGTCGACTATCCATAGGACTTGGTTTTCCTTCATGTTTACAACCTCTAAAAAGCCTCTCAGAGAAAACAGTTTCTGTAAAGTCATGAAAGAATTGCAAGGCAGACAAGGAGGGCCATCCACAAATATGACAAGCATTAGAGGGGGTCACTATTTACCATTAAGGTTACTGCATCTAACGCCTCCTTACAGTAGTATGCACATGCAGATCAGATCACTTTATTCAGATCAGATCACTTTATTCAGATCAGATCACTTTATTCAGATCAGATCAGATTACTTTATTCAGATCAGATCACTTATTCAGATCAGATCATTCAGATTACTCACTTATTCAGATCAGATCACATTATCACTTTATTCAGATCACTTTATTCAGATTATTAATTCAGATCAGATCACACTTTATTCAGATCAGATCACTTTATTTGAGAATATTGATATTTTGTATCTTCATAAGGGCTCGAAATCTGACAATTGAAGGTGGGCTGGAGAAATAGGCTGGAATACATGGGATCTGCATCTGTTATTAAATGGACATATGAGCAACATGTGGTATTCATCTTCAAGCAAAGTAAATTACATTTGTAACAAACTAATTCCTTATATGGAACCATTTTCTTTGAAAAACGTTGTTTTTGTATATTTCGGCTATCTGATTGACATCGAAATTTGGTTACCATTTGTATTAGATCTTTGTTTAATGCGCCACAGGAAATACACAGAAGTTCAAGAAGTGACTTAAGTGTACTGTAATTTACAAGAAATGATGAGTCACTTATTTTAATATTCCAGTGATGTATATTAATGTCTAATATGAAGTGATTTACAGCGCCACAATCTTGGGCTAACCAGACATAGGACTGACTGACTGAGTTTGGTTTTACGCCGCTTTTAGCAATATTCCAGCAATATCACGGCGGGGGACACCAGAAATGGGCTTAACACATTGTGCCCATGTGGGGAATCGAACCCGGGTCTTCGGCGTGACGAGCCAACGCTTCAACCACTAGGCTACCCCACCGCCCCTCTAGACATAGGAAAATACTGTGGTATATAAAGCATTCGAAAATATGAAACCCAATGTGTTGCCCCGTTGTCATCATAGACTTCATATCACAGCAGGCCCATTGAAAGGGATTGATAAATGAGGACGAGGACGAGGACGAGGGACGAGGACGAGGACGAGGACGATGATGTCATGACGTCAGCCAGTGTCTGTGACACAGCTGATGATGTCAATCATACACGTTTAACTGTTTTACTACCAAGCCAGTGAATATAAAGAAATATATCATACAGACTTACGTTTCATCAGTCCTTTAATCAACGACTTAAACAATCCTAAATATAAACAGCATGAAGATAATTAGAAGTGGCTATCGTTAAAAGACATCCTATATCTACCGGCGCTACCAGTAAAAGTGTTCTCATTCCAGGTAATATCCCCACACAGGTGAGTATTTAAGTACAAACACAGTCATTAATATCATTCATATGGTTTAGTTACTAAGTTGGCTATTGGGGCTTTGTGCAGCATGTGTAACTCAACAAAACATATCAAACGTCACAAAACGAGTTTCTGGTAAAATCTTAATAAAGATTTACAATAGCTGACCTTGACCT